CCCCAAAACCCCAAAACCCCAAAACCCCAAAACCCCTTTTCATTTTGTTCCAGTTGAGACTGTCTTTCAGTTATCAAATAGCCAGTCCTAAGAAATATGGTTTATGAAGGAATTATTTCAACCATAATGTGATTTATTTTAGCATTCCCACTCCTTCAGTGATGAGCTTCTTGCTCTCCTTAAATTTAGTGGCAAGGGTCTCTATCACTTTGCTTTCCATCAACTCTTTATTCTTAGTCTCAATTTTGCATTCTTCGCAAAAGACTATTGAGTCTTTGCTGTTGGGGTCACTATGAGAATTGAATCATTTCATACAGATTGAGTGCCCTCAAATCAGCATCAGAGGTCTTTCCAGTATTTCAAGACAACTAAGTCAAGAGAGGTTGGAGACTATCGGTTCATAGCACTTCAAGACCTTTTGGAGTAAGGCCAGAAGTTCCTTATTCTTCGTCACTAATTTCTTAATTTTGCTCTCAAGCTTCTCCTTATCACCTGTAAGTTGTTCATTTGCCATTTCAAGTTCGGTGATTTGATCCTTCGCATCTTTGAGTTTAGATTCAAGCTTCTTGGCTTCATCAACTTGTTTCTGGAGTTTATCAATTTTAGACTTGGACTCCTTCTTGGCCTTGGAAACGTCATTCTGGAGGATTTCAACCTTCTTCTTCATTTTCTTCTGGAGTTCGTCATAGGCCTGGGAACTTTCTTTGAGTTTTTTATTATTTGAAGACTTCGATTTCTCCATTTCAGCTATCCTTTTCTCCAATTTTGCGTTGATCTCGGTCAGGTTCTTAATCTGGACTTCTGATGCACTGTTCTTAGAAGAGTTTGAGTCCATCAAACTATCGCATTTCTTCTTCAGTTCATCAAGCTGTTTCTTGAGTGATAGAATCAAGTCCTCATTCTCTGATATATACTTGTTCTTCTCAGAGATGGTATTCTTGGCATCTCTAAGATCTTTCTTGAGACTCTGAATTTCCTTTGACCGTTCATTGCAAAGAATATCCATATCTTCAAATTTGTTCTGTAGTTCTTGGTGTTCTTGCTTGAGCTGAGCCACTTGACCAGCATCTACTGATGACATGGCCTTTTTAGCCTCTTCTTCCGCCTCCTTTCTGACTTGGGCGAGTTGTTGTTCATAATCTCCTTGATCCGCCTTCATTTGTTTTGTAAGCTGCTCTACTGAAGAACGTAAGGCTTCATTTTCAGAGCGGATCTCATTGACTATTTTGACTTCGACACTGTTCGCTATGGTCGATTCAAGCTCTTCCTTGAGCTTGGCTAACTGTTTTGTGAGGTCAGTGATTTGGTTATCTTTCTTCGCAATATCCTCCTTCTGGGTGTAACTAGCTCTATATAGTGTGTTAGCATATTAAATTTGTAGATGAACCACTGAGGTGTTGGCATAAAGTGTTAACTCTCTTTGGAATTAGGATAGTTAGCATATCCCAGATCTGTACTCCTTATAAAACCCTTATTACTTGAATTCCCTTCCTAGTTAGTACTAAAATGAATTTCTTGTTTTGAGCAGACAATTCGAACAATTATCAAAGAAGGCTAGTTCCAAGGTAAGTACTTAACGATTCTGGAAGGATGAGCTCCATGCTATCTAGGACTAATACAGCGAAGGAATACTGGGAGCCTAATCCATAATTTATCTTCTCGAATGGACTCATCTGTTCAGCCACGAGATACTTACTGATGGATCTTCTTGATCTCTTCAGTCTTGACATCTGACTCTTGGTTGGCCTTCTTGAGCTCCTCCTCCATTTCTTTATTGAGGTTGGTGATTCTATTGATCTCTTCTCTGTATCTAATACACTGAGTTTCAGTGGAATTTTTGCCTTGGCCTAGCTCGACATTTTCTTCCTTGAGTTTGTCTATTTCTGACAGATTTTTGTCATTCTCAAGCTTGAGCTTGAGATACTCTTCCTTGTCTTTCTTGGCTGAATTTGACAGAGTTTCATAATTGAGCTTGAGGACATCTATCTTTTTCAACATCTTTTCGTTTTCGAATTTCTGAAGATGTAACTTTTTACGTTGCATCTCAATTATCTCTTTATCGTTCTTGGATAGGTTTGACAGGTTATTTTAGCTTACGTTCAAGATCTTGAGTCACGAGTGATTCCTTATTAGAATTCCTAATAGCTGGCAACTCAAGGCCATCATGCTTATTTAGAATGATTGAATGCAGAGAGATTTCTTAAGTGCCCGGCGGAGCCTCTAATAGGCGCAGTTGCACTCAGGGAGTTTGCTAAAGCAATCTTATGGCCCGGCACCTGTTCAATATTTGGAACAGCGTCATAATTCTCTTCTTTATATCGGTCTCTGATTTCTTTCTTCTTGCTCTTGCTGAGCATTTCTCTCAAGTCGATAGTTGATCTAGAAGTCATTTGATAATAATTTTTCTATTTTATTTTGTTAAAAAGGGGTTTTGGGGTTTTGGGGTTTTGGGG